TAATAATAATAATAATAATAATAATAATAATAATAATAATAATAATAGAATTATTCCTGGGCTTAATGAGAGAGCAGCACAGATGGAGAGAGGAATGAGAAAAAGGAATGCCAGAAAACTAGTAACAGAGGACTACACAGCGTAAATTAAAGGATGAAACTACTGTAGCATCCTTTACTTTGGAGTTAACTACTGTAGTGTCCTTTATTTTAGAGCAAGGGTCTTCAAACTTGGCAAGTTTAAGACCTGTGGAATTCAACTCCCAAAATTCCTGGAGCTAAGAGGACTGGAGGAGGAATTCTGGGAGTTGAAGCCCACAAGTCTTAAATCTGCCAAGTTTGAAGTCCCCTGTTTTAGAGTAAAGGATAAATAAAAAACAGAGGCAATAATAATACAAAGAGGCAAAGAACACAAAAACTAATTAAAGAAGGTGCCTTTTCAAAAGAGAGTCTAGTAATTGGGGATGTATACATATACTGAGAAACCAGATTTTAGGAAATTAAAAACATTTTAAATATCTACTCTTAGTATTTTAAGGCCTAGCAGTGCTTTACATGTATGGATAATCTATCAGCAAAAATATGAACAAAGTAACCAATTTTAAATGTGCTCTTTGAACACTATTATATTCAAAGCTCTTTGATGTTGCATTAATTGTTCACCAAAACAATTTCTCAGAATAACATGATGTGAACGAGTTCTCCAGCATGGTTTTGTTCTGTTCTAAACATGAAAGAAAACCATTTTTGTGTCTACTCTAAATTTGTAGTCTTGGATGGATGAAAAGATCCCAATTCGAAGCCAGCCAGAAAGCATGGAATTTTTTTGTAAGAGAGATTAAAAAAAGAAAAATCTGAATTCACCCTGCGTTCATTCCTAGTGTGGTGCTTACCTCATCGCTATTCCATCGATTTGACACCACCGGGCGCAGATGTTTCATGCAAACCACCTCTCTCATATCCTCAAACGAAGGATCATTCGGGACCATATCGTAATAGGGCAGTTGGTATTCTTCGACAATCCCTGCGAGAAATTCACAGCTGCTATAAATATTGGGGTGAGACCAGAGGTCACCGAAAATGTGCCTTTTATTCAAGCTGCAGTTAAAGTTCTCACAGGCTTGATTTTCCCAGTTTGGAGAATGCAGTGAACAAAAAGAGAGCCCATTGGTGGCTGTCATGCCCGTCAGAATCTGATGAAGATGACGAACAGCTGACAGGGAATGGGAGTGTGGCTCCGGTGGCTGTGGAAGAAACTGGGGAAGGGCAAAGTCTGGCTGGGCAGAGCAGGGGAGAGGTAAAGCAAGGGAGAGGGAATTCAGAGGAAGATCCAGGCCCACCCCTCCTTCAACCTAGTGCACGCAGGGAGGAAAGGAGAAGGGAGCAATGTGGGTTGGGTGGCTTATGCGGGAGGAAGGGGCCCTGATTCCCTTCATAAGCTGCAGATGGGAACTCAGTGTATAAAAGAGGAAGCTGTGTGCAGCAAGATGTTGGGAGCAAATGTGAATTTATCTTGTATCTTCGTGGCTTATCTGTGTTTCTGGCATCTTCCCAACTGTGTTGAGTTTTGCTGTGCTTTCGAGTCTGAAATTCCTTCTCCTGCCCTGTCAAGCTGATTACTGCAGTTTGGTTTGTTTGGATTTTAAGTTACAGTTTGTGTGTCCCTTGTTTTGGGACTGAATTTTCTACAGTTACAGGCTGATCCTGGGAGAGATTTTCTCCAGCGGAAGGTAACCTGGACATTGGGGGCAAAGTTGGAGATAATAAAGGGACTTTTATTGCTTATTTGACTGTGTTGCCTTTGTGCCATGCCCCGGGTCATCACAGTGGCTTTCTCTATTTCTGGAGCAAATTCGATCAGTCCCAAAGAACATCAGGAGAACAGCACTTAGAGAGCCCACCTGCGTTCCATTCTATTCGCATCCTATTTCTCATGCAGAGGGTTTGCCAAAATATACATAAATTGCCTGACAACTACAGTTACACTGTATAAAAGGACCTCTGGAATGAGAGATTCTAAATTATCCCGGGTTGTTCAGATACCACGTTTAGTATTTAACAGAATAACAGAATACGACCTTGGAGGTCCTTCCCTTGCTCAAGCAGGAAACCCTAGACTATTCAGACAAATGGTTGTCCAGTCTCTTCTTAAAAACCTCCAGTGATGTGGCACTCACAATTTCTGAAGCCATGCCGAATCACTGGTTGATTGTTCTTACTGTCAGGAAATTTCTCCTTAGTTCCACGTTGCTTCTCTCCTTGATCAGTTTCCATCCATTGCTTCTTGTCCTGCCCTCTGGTAATTTGGAAAAGAGGTTGACCTCCCCTCTTCTTTCTGGTAGACCCTCAAATATTGGAAGACTGCTATCTTGTCACCCCAGGTTCTCCTTTTCACTAGCCTAGACACGCACAATTCCTACAACTGTCCTTTACCACGTTTTAGTCTCCAGGCCCTTAATTGCTCTGTACATGAGTCGGCAATCTTAAGCACTCAAAAATCCATTTGAATTTTCCCACAGAAAACACCAGGAGCCACAAAACCTACTTAGGGGGGTTGAAAAGCTCAATAAATCATGTGCCAGCGGGTGTCGCACATGGGCGGTTGTGACACATATTTTGAGCGACAGAGAGCCACAGCAGAGGGATGAAAGAGCCACATGCGGCTCCAGAGCCACAGGTTGCTGACTCCTGGTTTAGTACAAAAGGATTCAGGCAATGAGGAACACAGAAAGTTCCACTTGGGGGTGATCTAGGAGGGCTTGGGAGTAATTTTTTTTTTTACCTCCTGTGATGCATCGCCGAGCCATTTCCCAAATGATCAAGCCGAAGCTGTAAATGTCGGCCATGATGTATGGCTGGAAGTGATTCTTGTTCAGAGTTTCATCCAGGACTTCAGGGGCCATGTATCGTTTCGTGCCCACCCTCGTATTTATAGGGACATCGACTTCATTTGTATCGCTAAAAGGCGGCAAAAGATAGGAAACAAAGTAAGACAGAAGACGATGCAATTATGGTAATAACCATACAGAATGTTTACGACGGTAAATTTTTTAATGCAAACGCACCGAGATTAAACTCATTTACTAGTGATTTACCATTTTCAACCGCCTGCTTCTAAGATGGAAATTATACTAATTTACTTCTCAAGCATTAATAAAACGGTATGATTTCTGAAGATTCAGCGTTGAAAGGATTTCTTCATTGTAATGGAAATATTTGAAGCTGCCAAGGAAGAGCAGAATCAACACTGAAATATGCCTTTTGATTTGAAGCCAGAGATAGTTTTAGCTTGTGTTTTTAGAACGTCAGTCTAGATACGTTTTGACATTAATGTTTTGTTTCGATTATCCCTTTCATGTTTGTTTTACGAAGAAAACACTGAATTGCCTTAGTTTGTCAATGCTGAGCACCTGTTCCTCTGATACAAGTCATCCATGGGAAGGAACAATGCTGTTTAGATCTGTGGGCAAGCAACCCAGGGTATGAATCTTATCAGCTGCTCTAGCAAATGACTCAGAAGGTGATTGGCTCTCCTCGGCTTGAGATGTACGAAACTAGATGTCACCTGATGGTCAAGGTGGTGTTGTGGTCCGCCGGCAGCCTGCGGAGATGGCAGCAGAGTGGGACAGTGGGGAGGAACATGGGCCAGTCTGGGATTCTGGGAAGGAATCAGACAAGGGGTCTGTGTCCGATACAGAGATGGGGCCAGGGCCATCTGGGAGTTATGTGCTGACTCTGGAGCCGGCAGAGGAACAAGGCAACAGCAAGGCAGAGGAACAAGGGGAGCCTGTTCCCAGTGAGCGTATGCGCAGAGCTGCCAGAAGGTAAGAACAGTTAAGACAAAAGGGGCAACTCGGGAGTAAGGCTTGGAGGTGATTGGCCTTCCCATAAGACATAAAGGAGGAGCAAAGGGAAAGGAACCTTTGTAGGGAGCAACTTTGTTCGTACTGGTCAGTTTGAAACCTGAAGCTCTGTGTTGAATTTGTGCTCCGTTTTGGCCTCGTATGACTAATTGGAAATTTAGTTGTTGGCAGCATTTCAAGGAAGATAAAGGTGCGTGCTTATCAGACTTATCCTGAAGGACATTGGTAGACTTCCACAGGACTGTTTACAAACTCTGTGAAAGTTATTATGGACTGTGAATGACTAAAATTCACAGCTGTTGAAATAGAGAAAAAAGTGTTTGGGGACCAATGTGTGTTTGCTAGTGTCTCAATAAGTGTTGGTCAGAACAGCTGTTGACCTAGGTGATCTAACAGTGACAATACAATAGAGTCAGAAGAAAAGTTGGTCTTCTAGTCCAATCCCCTGCTCAAGCAAGAGACCCTAAACCATTCTGGACAACCTCTTCTTAAAAACCTCCATTGATGGAGCACTCACAACTACTGAAGGCAAGCTGTTCTCCTGATGAATTGTTCTGTCAGGAAATTTCTCCTTAGCTCTAGGTTGGATCTCTCTTTAACTCATTGCTTCTTGTCCTGCTCTCAAGTGCTTCAGAGAATCGGCTGACCCTCTTCTGTCTATGGCAGACCCTCAAATATTGCAAGACTGCTATCAAATCGCCCCTCATCCTTATCTTCTTTAGATTAGACATGCCCACTTCTTGCAACCATTCAACAAGTGTTTTATCCTACACCCCCTTAATCATCTTTGTTGCTCTTCTCTGCGCTCTTTCTAGAGTCTCAATGTGTTTTGGTATTGTGGAGACCAGGACTGGATGCAATATTCCAAGCTTACTAGTGCAGCAGAAGTACTAACCCTTTCTCTAACCTAGATACTATCTCTACGTTGATGCATCTCCAGGTTTCATTGTATATGAATACTGTATTTACTTTATTGATGCCTCTCAACTCAGCAACTTTAAACTGTGTGGACACAGAGAAACCTGGCTGTGGAATTGTGGGAGTGGAATCCACACAGATTAAAGTTGCTAAGGTTGAGAAGCACTGTTCTCTATAAAGCTGTGTTGGCGCAGTGGTCAGATTGCAATACTGCAGGCTCCTTCTGCTGACTGCCAGCTGACCGCAATTTGGGAGTTCGAATCTCACCGGGCTCAAGGTTGACCCATCCTTCCATCTTTCTGAGGTGGGTAAAATGAGGACCCAGATTGTTGGGGGCAAAAGGCTGACTTTGTAAACAGCTTAGAGAGGGCTGTCAAAAGCACTGTGAAGCGGTATAGAAGTCTAAGTCAGGAGTCAGCAACCTTAAACACTCAAAGAGCCATTTGGACCCATTTCCCACAGATCAGAAAACACCGGGAGCCAAAAAACCTACTGGGGGTTGAAAAGCTCAGTAAATTGTGTGCCAGCAGGTGTCACCCATTGGCAGTTGTGACACATATTTTGAGTGACAGGGAGCCACAGCAGAGGGATGAAAAGAGCCCCATGCAGCTCCAGAGCTGCAGGTTGCTGACCCCTGGTCTAAGTGCTATTGCTATATCAGGAGGACTTGATTGTCTACCTGTTAAATTTGACAGCGAGGCCCAAATCTGCAATGCAGCAGGACCCGTTCCTCTTGATCAAAATGTTTTTGCTCTTCAGGTCTCTGTGGGCAATAGCAGGCTTCCCTTGAGTCCCATAGATTTCCGTGTGCAGGTGGCAGAGGCCACACGCGGCAGAATAAGCCAGTTTCAACAACGCTCTGTTGTCCAGCGTGGTATACTGCAGGAAATCATACAAGGATCCCTTTTCGTGGTAATCGGTGATCAGGTAGAGATGAGTCCAGGAGCCTGTGCCTTTAATGTCTGCTGCGATGAACCCTGCAGAATTGGGAACAGAATGGGGGGAGGGGGGGTTTAAGTGCTTCTCATTAATCATTCAACGGAAGGCAAATTTAGAGATGAATAATGAATACATTTAAAAAGCATTTTGGAGACACAAGGCAGGCGTCTTCACTCAGGGAGCTGTCACCCAAATCCAGTTATTCAGCTTTGAGGAGAATAAAAGCCAAATGTTGCCCCTAAGCAATGACTGCTGATTCATTTTAAGACGGCTCGTTCCCCCCCCCCCCGCCCCCACAATTTCTGAATTTCTGATTTATGTTTTCCATCGTGGTGGTTCCGGGTTTGCTAATGTTAACAGTCAGGTGAAAAAAGTAAAATATGAAGGGTTTTCTCTCCCCTCCTTCCCCTTTTGGACATATCAAAATGTTATCTTAATTGAAACACTCTGTAAGGGTAATGTGATTTCCAACAGTAGTATGAAAAATTTGACATTTGCAACTATTGATTTCACCCAAAATGAACAGATTTTCCACAAATCCTCCTGTGGAAAAATTTAAGTATGCCTTTGGCTCTAATTCCTGGTCTCATGGCAGAAACAACCTCAAGTAGGCATTGCTCCTCACTGTCGACCAATCTCTTGTCTAAGATGATTTTTTTTTCAGCAATGCATCTTTTGAAGGATTGTTTGCATGCCTAGCCAGTTTTAAATCATCTCGTAGCATCTCAATGGGATTTAAATCTGGGTTTTGACATGGCCACTGGAGACCTACCTACCTTCCTTCCTTCCTTCCTTCCTTCCCCTTTCTTTCTCCTTCTTTTCCTTTCATTTCCCCTCTCCATTCTTTTTTTCAGCCGTTCCTTAATGCATTTATTGAAATGTTTAGTGTCCTTGTTGTATTGCAAGGTCCACTTTCAGTTCGGCTTCATGTTTGCAGCTGATCTGGTGCACTTGATTTTAATTTTAGGTATCTGAGCTAGTGATCAATGTAGGAGCACGCTTACTTTTTCCGCAGGTGAAATTGTGCAGTTACGTTTATTTAAATTACAGATTGGAACGCAAATTGTAAATGTGGCATGATCTTCTGTTACATTATATTCCCCCTTATCAATATGATCGAAATGAAGAACTAACATTTGTATGCTAATAATAAGTTGAAAAGCTAAAAAAAAAAAATGTAAATGGGGTGTACTTGTTTTTTTTCCCCAACAACTTTATACAGAAATTTACACACTCGGCTAGCTGCCAATCCAATGGAATACATTGGCTCACTCTGAATTTTAGGAATATAGCAGGCGAGGTGAGGGATTTTCATCTCATCCAATTTTCACTTTACTGGAGAAAATGTTTCAAAGCCTTAACAACTAACAATGCAAATGGAATTCAGTAAAAAAAAAAGAAGAAAAGAAAGAAAAACACTCAAGAAAGTGTTGGAGAAAACTTTTTTGTCATCTTTTCATATTCTGCTAGAAACATTGCATTATGTATGACATCCTTTCCATGACGAAACACAATCACAGCGTGAGCCTCTTCACTTACCGAGTATATTTTCATGGCGCATAAGAACCGTCTGGTAAATCTCCGTTTCCCGAAACCAGCTGGCTTCTTCGGGGGTGGAAAACACTTTCACGGCCACCTTTTCCCCTCTCCATTTACCCATCCAAACTTCACCGTACCTCCCTTTTCCAACCTGCTGGATCATCTGAATCTGTTTGGCGATCGTCCGTTGCACCTGACAAAAAAAAAAAAGGGGGGTGGTGGAAAAAGGCACCTGAGGATTCTCAAGTTGCTGATGAAAGGTTTTAACTGTCAGGATTCCAGGCAGTTACTCCAATTAAATCATGAGCCTTGAGCCACATTTCCAAAACTAAAAGGGATTTATTAGAAGTTAACATGCCGGCATTAGCCTGGGCGTAGATGACTCTGAGATACGTAATTCACTGTCACCCTCAACCCTGCTTTTCCCCCCACCCCTCTGGGTGTATCATCCAATGAAACACATCCATAGCCAAGAGTCATCAATCATGCTCTCCAATTAGATTTTTGCCCCGGCAGAAGCTTCAGTCATCGAATCAGTCTTTGAAGAAAATATGAATGGAATGTACTTTCGATTCCACACTGCTGCCTGCTCTTTGAAACTTCCACCCCTTCTTTTTGTTGTCAACTATAAAATGTGTATACAAAATGTTTTATGAGTTGAACGCCTGCTCTTTGAAACTTCCTCCCCTTGTTTCTGTTGTCAACTATAAAATGTGTATACAAAATGTTTTATGAGTTGACATCATCATCATCATCATCATCAAAAAGGATGTGAACTAAAAAGGCAATGACCTCTGAGGATTTCATAGATTAGGCATTTAAAAGGTTTATTCAAAAACAGCTATTTTTTTACATTAAAGTAGGAGGGATCCAACTGGATTTCTTGGAGGGCCGGATCAGCATTGTAGTTGTTCCCTGCGGGCCGGGCCGGGAAGAGATGAGAAATGGGACGGACACACTCTTACAGCGCCCTGCCCACTCAAACAGGGTACGAGAGGCCCACAGGCAGTCCCCTTGGGCCCCATTTTCACTAGCAGAGACACCGTGGACCCGTCCTTTGCTACTTCCGGGCCATATTTAAACACCCTGTGGGCCAAATCCAGCTTATGGGCCTTGAATTCGATACTCCTGTCTTAAAGCATGTAATAGCTGAAAAGCACAGGATTGAACAATATTGTAGCAACTGAAATTCTCCGCCCCCTTTTTTTCTGTTTTGTTGCATTACCGATTGAGGAACAACAGCACAAGCTGTTAACCTCACCCAAAAGTAATGCTGTTTCTTTACCCTTCCACGACAACTTCCTGGGCCATCGGAAAACGGACCCAACAAGTGCTTTTTGAAGGGAAGCAACTGAAATTCTTGAACTACCCTGTTTTCCTGAAAATATGACCTACCCTGAAAGTAAGTCCTAGTTTGATTTTTTACATGTGCGCCCAATATAAGCCCTACTCCCAAAATAAGCCCTAATTAAGGTCCCGCCCACTCCAGAGTGCACAGGTAAAAATTAACCTAGGGTGGGGATGGGGGTGGTGGAGGAGCTATCCTACTACTTACCTTTGGACAGTTGTATCCAGGCCTCGCACACCCTGACACCCGCCTTGCCAGCACATTTCTTCTACAGCCAGCAAGGCTGGAAAGGCTTTCCTGAAGGCCTCTGCAGCTGATAACAAAGCTCCGGATCGATCCGGAGCTCTATTATCGGCTGCAGGGGCATTCAGGAAAGCCTTGCCGGCTGCAGAAGAAGTTCCTGAAGGCCTCTGACAGTGAAAAGGAGGCTGGGGATGATGCATGCAAGTGAGGTTAGTCAGTGGATGACATCCCCCGAAAATAAGACCTGGTGCTTTTTTTGTGGCAAAAAATGTAAGACAGGGTCTTATTTTCAGGGAAACATGGTAAATTAATTTTGCTTGCTTTTCTCTTCAAGAATGCCTGAGGCTGTAGGAGAAGGAATGACAGAGCCAGGGATGGGAGTGAAAAGAGGGATCCCTACGTAGCCAGAAACATACTAAGTCCAACTGCTTTGTGTGCTGTTGAATTTTATCTAGATCTAACTAGATGCTGATTGTTAGTTGAGAAGATTCCTGTACATGGGTTATTAGCAGAAGAAATAAGTTTAATTGATAAAATCGGTTAAATTGAACCTTCATGCCTGGACACAGAAACTTGGACAAGTCTGCTATAAATCATGTAACTCCTAAACCAGGAGCTTACCAACAGAGGCAGTCCTGAACCACTGCCAGAGCTGATCGACTGGTCAATAAGATCCTTTAATGATTCCCCAGCTGGGATGAAGGCCTCATCCTGCTCCAAATCACGATTGTAACGTCGTCTCTTTGTTACCCCTTTGCAGTAATGTCTGGAGAAAAAAAGATTCAAATTCACGCAATTCTGATTTGTCAAAAGTAATTTCAAAATCGTATGCCACAGACTTCCTCCATGTTTACATTAGTAAGGGTTTTTTTTAGTTTACTTTATTGATTAGCTCTTAGGCCATATCAAAGTGCAGTTCCAGACATAAGTTATTACTAAAATCTGATAAACACAACTTAAAATGAAATTAGAATAAAATACATTTTAAAAAGAAATTGGAAAAAAAACAATAATTTCATATATAGATAAATAAAATGTGATAAAACTATATTTCAGTGTCAGCCCTACAATCTACCCTAATCAGTCCCACATATGCCAATCTCAACCAAACCATTTTGCTTAAGTTCTGTGCTGTGTTAAATGTTATTTTCAGATTCTGGCTGCACATACGATAAGTTGTTTTGATATGGGGGTCCTAATAAGTCATTCATTTGGTATATAGATGGAGGTACCTGTCTCTTAACGTGAAATGGCCGAGCAAATACAAATGTACTTTTCAAATAGACAGCTATTTAAAGTTGCAACTGCCAAACATCTTAGAGAGATATTTACGCAAGCGAGATTCGAACATTAGTAAGTAATTTCCTAATTGTTCATTTTATGCGATCATTATCTTGAAACAGAATTGAATAACTGAACAGAGAATCTGTGCCTCACCTTGAATGGAGGGTTTACGTATAAGTGATACAAGTGAGTTCAACATTCAATTGGTAATTTCTATCTCTGGATAATAATATATCTTATAAAATATATTTTCTTCGTCTTACTATGAAGTTATTTAATTTAGATCAAGCTAAATAATTTAAGCTAAATTAGATGAATTTTAATCATCCTAGTTTTTCTGTAAATATCTTCAGGATCCCATATAAGATTATACGATGTAAAGGAATATATTAACCATAAACATTAAATGTGCAGATAGGCAAATACAGGTATCAAATCATTAAAAATATTTTATATCCAGCACAAATAAGACCATGAATCTTGAAAGTTTCTCCCACATTCCACTACAGATTGTGCAGTGGGGGGTCCTGAGTATTCTGCCACTTTATACAATTTTCTACACATTTAACCACCCAAAGTGATGCAAATCAAATTGGGCTCAACTCTAAACTGCATTTAAAACTGCCAGTCTATCCTGTTTTAATGCAACACATTAAAGCTGTAAATATCCAACATGATTTACCTGTAGCAGAAGCAGCCAAAGAGGGCAATCATGGCAATGATGCAGACTGCCATGCAAATAAGCACAGCTATCCAACGTATGCTGCCATCAAACAGGTTAACTAAACGAACAAACAAACCAACAAACAATAAATAAATATTAACATAGAATTTCTCAGCCTTGGCCTCTTTAAGATGTGTGGACTTCACACTTCTAGAATTCCTCAGCATAGCTGGTTACAGAATTCTGGGACTTGAAGTCCACACATCTTAAAAACTGTCAAGGTTAAGAAACACTGCATTAATGTAATCATAATTAAATGCAGAACTCTCTCACAGAAAATATCAGACAAGATTTAGACAAACCTTACTGCCATCTACCTTCAGTAATGCAATTTTGCAATAGTTGTTGTGTGCAAACTTTATGTGGAATGTCATTACCTGTGGTTCGATTGTTATTCCACTGGTATCTTACTCCCCAGAGATTATAATTAAGAAGATGAAGAGCTCTAAATTGAAATTTTTTGAAACAGGGCAATCTGTCTAGCACCTGATTTGATGTCCATGCAAAGAAAGAGTGTTACCTTCCCCCAGAGTTTTATACTATGTTTTACAATGCTCAGAACTAATTGATGTCAACATTGCTACCGCCCCAGGGATCCCACCCACTGAATATATCAACAAGCATGGTACTTTTTGAAGTAGGGGGTAGAGTGGGCTGCAGATCTTGATTGCAGAAGTCGGTCCGGCAACATTCAATGGTACGGCGTCGTAGAACAACTCGGGAATCCTACAGGAGAAATTGGACACTGAAGCAGTGCTGAAGCACTCAGCTATACACAAAACAGTTACACATCAGTTATTAGCATTTAGAGAATGATGAGAACGTGGCAGAAGTGAAGCAAACACACACATATTTACATAGTCTGCGTGATTATGAGTAAAACTCTACAGGGGGTATGGCAGTGGTCTCACAACTGAATGTCCAATTCAGCTGCCCAGGCGATGGCCTCTGGCATTACTTCGTGTAGATCATCTAAGGAACCAGAGAACGTACTTCATGGGCAATCTTGCACAATATGCTTAATAGTTTGCAGATCAGCACCACAATTGCACAATTGTATCCCCACTGGTACAATTCTTTCCAGTATCACATCTAATTCTGAGACAGGTCACACCCAGACGATTTGGTAGAGGGATCACTAATGGTCAGGCCACAAGAAAGTAATTGCATTGGACCATCAGCTAATCATAGGTATTTTCACAACCATGTACGCATGTTCCAGGATCTACAATGAAGAACTGGAAAGCAGGCATTTATGTAGATTGTTGTTTTCCAAACAAAACTGATAAGCAGGTTTAGGGAACGCAAACTGTCAAGAGTATATTCATGAACTGGAATAGAGCTTGGTAACAAGGTCAGCCAATGGATAGGCATAGCAACTAAGTCAGCCAATGAGGACTGTTTGGAAACTGAAACTGGAATTAGCCTAGGCATGGCTCTGTATTAAGCTCTGCAGCTCTGTTGAGCTCAGAGTCTGTCTATTGAAAATGAAACTGCTTCTCTCCTCTGCTGTGTGTGTCTTGCTTGCCTGCTGAACTAAAGTGAAACTGATGTCTGCTTCTGAGCTCCTGAGTTGTTGTTCTGCTCTGAACCTGTAACATGTCTGCTTCTGTGTGAGTTTGCTCCATGTTGGAGAAATCTACAACTGGTATTGTAAAATTTACTGTATATGTTTATAAAGAAGTTACATGAAGCATCAGCCATCTGTGTTTATTTTTGTGGAGCTGAATTCACCCTGCAAAAACTCTGAACACGAATAGCGATGGCTTCCCCTTCTTTATTTCTGAAAACTGCTTAACAAGACTCAGCCGTGGGGTACCTTGCATTGGAAGTCTGAACCTTCATATTTCATGCAGCCGGAAGAGAGGGTTTTTTCTCCATTTTCGTCTTCCTCAATGATGGCAAAACAATGTCCGTTAGTTCTGAAAAACAGATGAACTAGCTCCAGTCCTTTGAAAGCTGCGTTCAGCCAGCTTGTTCAGTAAACAATGGTATTTTTCTCCTTCTAACACAGGGGTTCCCGACCTGTGCTATACCCCGCACCCAAGAACGCTTCTGATATATTTCCGCACCCCTTACAAAAGTAAATAATTATATGCATATAATTATGCACAGAGTCTATAATTTTGAATCTTCTAAACCTAAGTTTTTGCACCCTCTGGAATATCATCTTGCACCCCCCTGGTTGGGAACTGTCAAGAGTGTTTACAGTGGGACTCCTATTGTAAGACAACCCAGGAGTAAAACACAGGACACAGAGGCTTTGTCTTTTAACAGTGGTTTACATACAAGACTTCTATATACATATATACACGTGTTAGGCAAATACCAGACAAGCAATCAATCTTCAACTCTACATGGAGAGCTACAATGGAAATAGAACATGAGAGAGAGAGAGAGAGAGAGAGAGAGAGAGAGAGAGAGAGAGAGAGAGAGAGAGAGA